TATTAGGCGAAATTGGAGGGTTGTCACAGTTCAAGAGATAAGGGAAAACTGGTTACAAAAGGCCCCTAAATCATACATCATTAGGTCTTTTTATAAAGATTGCTATACTCTTTCAAACGAATTTTTCAGATACTGGAGATTGTCTGCGGGATTACCTAGCAATTATAAAAAGCACATTTTAAAACATGTTTCGAAAAACTATACCGAAAAAATATGAAAATCAAAGAACCCGAGTTTTATCGCACTTGGCTTGGCTATTGTACTATTTCAATCCTAGTACACAATTTTTAACTATTTCCGAATTTCTGTTTTTTGTTACCTGTTGATCTCGCCGTTCAAAAATATCTAAATATTTTTTGCTTGTAAACAGATAATTTAATAATTAATAGTATCCAAGGTACCCTATGTTCGAGTTGTCTTCACCTCACATTCTTACTGCAGTTTTTCTATTATTCAATGACAATGGCGAATGCTGTAATGTGAATGTAAATCTGGCTCTGACTCTGAATGTGACCTGCCTGGCCCCTAAGCTTAGAAACTCAAACCTGAGACGAGGTTTAGTATCCAACTCTGAGATTGAGACACCTGCACGGCGACAGGTGAGAAAGTGGTGGGAAAAGAAGACACTTGTCTTGCTAATCAAACCGCGCCCATAACAAGTAAAGTCCATTAAAATATTTGATTGTGCTGAGCCCATCATCGTTTGTACAATATTTTTAGATTTTCACGACCTATTTACACTAGTCACATGGAAATGGGGTCAGGAACAATCCTCTTAGTAAACAGGTTTGTTTGTTTATAAATTAGAAAAGCAGTTTGAGGAACCGCTCACTCTGAAGGTATACCTAACTATTAATTGCCTTTATAAGACAGTTATAAAGTATTTCTTTGTTACTATAAAAATGCCTTGTGTCTCCCGATCTCTCGTACTCTTTACCATATAATAACCCTACTCGGTAATAAATTAAAACTGTTTTGCAAAAAGTGAATCTTGCAACTACACTTCGCACATTTCATTAGCGAGAAAAAAGCGATGAGAAAAGAGAAACCCCAAGAGGAGACGAACCCAAGGCGTATATATCATGTCTTGGCGTTTCAGGTTTTGTACAACGGATCTCAGGGCGTACTCAGCAATCAATCAAAACTTTAATAAGCAATTTGCAGAGTCGCCAAAAACAAGAAAACAGCCAAAAGAGACAGCTGGGGAAATTACGTGTAAAATTATAGAATTCGCCCTGACAAGAGGAAACGTCAATAAAAAAGAATTAAATCGCTGCCCAAGCAGTCTCGTTGCAGATGCAACACAAATTGTTTTTGGATGTAAGCCGTGTAGCCGACTTGTTTCTTTCGGCTGGCCCCACGAAAAAGCTCATAAAACTTGGCTGAAAAATTCTAGGCGCAATGTATCTGACAGAACGTGTGCATGTGGCATCGCACACCAGCGAACTCACGAGATACCCGCACACGGATATACAGATACAAAATTCAACGCTGACGACACTGCGGGCCGAGTACAGAAACTTTTGAGCAACCAGAAAAATAATACAAAAATCAGAAAAAGGTACAAAGATCGCCCTGAGTGAGGAGCAGGGGGGAAAAGAGGGAGAGCCACTTAGAAGCTGTATCTCTGTATCTGTAGAAACCTGGTCCTAACCAAATTCATTTTGATGCTGCGGCTGCCTCAAATATTTTTCGTGCGTTCAGCCGGCGAATATTTTCGAGATACCCTCTTAAAGAGTTCTATAAAACATATACGGGATGATAGAAAGCTGGGTCGTTTTGGGTTAAACCTTAATAGCAAATAAAGTTTTTTGTTGGAAATATTATATAAGATATAAGATATTATATGAAACCCTAGCACTGACATTAATAAATCTGTAATGGAGAGGTATTATTTGTATATTTCTTTAAAGTCCAAGCAGTAAATACATTTTAACAATATTTAAAACGAAGAGGTTTCTTTAAAAACCTTTAGTTTTACCTCCTTAGTTGGAACCCTTTCCCTTAAGAGCATTTAGATTTCGGTCTAACGAAATCCCAACTCCTTTCCTGTCGCGTCTTGGATTTCGTTTTATTCTGTTTCTGTAGTTATTTTTTGGTTGAGCTTGAGAAAATAAAAATTGATTCTAGAACCTGTTTTTGGCTTCGCTCGGTCTGGTCTCCTCTCTTGGTGGCTGCTTTGTGCTGGCCTTTTGAAATATCTTTGGCTTTGTACTTGTTTCGTTGCTGCTGCTGTTTTTAGGCGTTTCTTCGGCTCTTGAATCTCGTTTGGCTCTTTTGTCCGAGCAGTCGAACAAAAAAAGGGAGTAGAGTGGGAAGAGTAAAACCCTTCTGTGAGAGATCCCAGACCCAGACCGAAACTACGACCGGGATTGGGGCTTTCGTTTTCGTTTGTTAGCCCCATCCATTTAATAAGGCGCATATTTTGTATAATTTATACCATTTTATCTCGACTTCTTTTTTTCGAAAGTTTATCAAAGGCAAAAAGTAAAATTTCTTTGCTTCGATTTGATATATTAACTTGTAGCTTTCGGGAGGGTCTAGCTTTTGCTTTTTATATAATAATCTTGAATCGACTGCGTCGAATGTTTTCTCAGTAAGGCAAAGACCTTGAGAATATTATAAATTAACGTTTAGAAAAAATGATGATCGCCAGCTTAAGTAGAAACAATAATAATGCACAAACAATACGCGAGCGAGGTGTGCAAATTTTTTGCTATGCCAACACAGTCTCATTAAAGTTGTAAGAGTCTGAAATTTATACTGTATATTCAGGTAGCATCCATTGTGCATAGACACTGCAACAGCGAAGATTTTCGCATGCCTCTTGAAATGCAAATGAATGGATGTGGGAACCTCATGAGTCACGACTTGATTTTCGCCAAAATATGATAAATAGGTTTAGGGCTTGCGAATTCTATAGAAGCTCAACGGTTATTATTGTTTGTTTTTGCTTAAAATTTCATTCAGAACTCAAGGCTACGAGTTCGAAAATACGATCAAAGCGATCACGATCACTTTTGGCCTTCACAATCAGCTGTTTGCTGGGAGAAACACAAATGATTTATTGGGAATCTACGCTGATATTTTTTGCTAATCACCTAATTAATCGAAATGCCTTCTTGGGGGAATTCTGGATAAAAAGGTGTTTAGTTTCTATCGTTTACTATCATGCTTTTCTGTTCGCACCTAATTTGCGATTTAATAAGTTCTAGGAAGGTCTTATGTATAAATAACCAATCCTTTAATGGGTAACTTTTTTATAAATAGGAACAGATTTATATTTGACTGTCAGTCCCATCCCACGTATCTCCTCTTGAAGAATTCCACAAATTCTAGGCCAATCCCCTTTTCAAGAACAGGTTGTGATTAAGACGCTTTCAATGATCTTGCCCAGATCTTTCCGACCAATCCCGTGAAATGTGTCAAAAAGAGTCGATCCGTGGCCGCAGTAAATGCAAAACCCGATCGCTAAATACCGGAGCCGCAGACATTAATCGAATTAGCATAGGTAGTGACAAGCGCGGAACGCAGAAGATTGGATCTAAGTCGTGGCAGGTGCCACAGAAAAACCCACAAAAACACTCTGAAAAAACCAGAAATACACGCGACAAAAATGCACAACCAGCAAGTCAGGTGAAGTAAACCGGTGAATTAACAGCAACAACAACCAGGGACTCGAAACTAAAAACTAAAATAAAAGCAAAGTCTAAACAAAAACAGAGAAAAAGACTAAAAACGATCAAAGAAACCTGCTCTGGGACATAGCTGGAATACCAGAGTTGTCACTTGGCCGAAACCCCCGAGGGGAATGGGGATTTCGGGGGTTTTAGAGGGTGTTTTACTGTGGGGAGTGCCTGGGGAGAAGAAGAAGACGAAGAAGTAGGAGTAAAACCCGCCGAACTGAAAGCGAATTATGAATAGCGCTAGAAAGAGAGGCCCCACCGATAAGCAACAAGAAAGAGACAACGCCAAAATCGCATGCATGTCGCATTTGAAAACGGCCTTATGCAATGCGATCCAAGGAGGGGGGTGCAGAGGGGGCAATAAATCAAAACAATTATTATGTAAGACGGTGTTGGCTGTTAGTGCACCAAAAACAGTTAACAGGGCAACACATTAAGCGGTACGCAATAAAAGCGTATTTTAATTTGGTTTATTCAGTTTATTGATTCAGCTTGGCAGCACAGCGAAAAATATTTTCAAACATTTCATATGCAAAGAGCTTCTTATCAGTGTTATTTTATTGTGGTATCTTGAAAATGCTTATATTTGTACACTTGTTCCTACGTTCCGAAACATTTTGCTATAATTTGATATCATATGCAAAATGTACTAACTGAAAAACTTGTTAAATAAAATCTTTTGTTGGTTCTTTAAAATCATTAGTAGAGTAAATTCTTTCTAAATAATTGCTGAGCAAAGAAAGTTTTGTGGTTTTTGAAACAGCCAAAAGTGTTCTTTATAATTGATTTGAAATAATGCTTTAACTGGGTCTTGAAATGTCCATTATTTGTTTTTCATGCTTTAATAAAAAATTTTAAACATCAATATGTTGGTTTTTTAATAAATTCAGTTAGTTAATCGACGCTTATATAACTTAGTGTCGTATGGCCATTAGTGACATACAATTTTTTCCCCGTGTAAGCGTTAAGGCTGATTGCAGTCCCCCTCCCCCTCTTCCGCCAACTAATCGCCCCCCTCTTTCCCACCCCAAACCGCTTTGCGTGTGTAAATTGTTTATTTAATTTCAGTTATTGAAAATGCTATTTTTATGGCTTTCAATTGGGATGGCTAGCAAATGAAATGGACTTTTATTAACTTGGTTAAATCATGGCAAAATGATTCAATGCTACGTATTTTTTGCACATTTATGTTTAGCACGTTGTTTGGCAGGTTTTGTATTCCAATGGAGCCAATTGGTATTCCGCTTGCATTTCGCTCAAGTTCAGTGGCTCTAAAACTGTCTCAAGGCTGCAAAATTCCATTTCTCGACTTACCGCTAACACAAATAGAAAAAATTCCCTTTCAAATGTTGGTGCTGTTGTTGATTGTTTGTTTTGTTGGTGTTGCTAAAGTTGTGGCTGCAGTTTTTGTTATTTTTGCACTTGTTTTTTAGTATGCAAACGCTGTCACTAACACACACGCGCTGTTGTTTTTAAGGCCTTAATTTTTTAATGAAGGAGCTCCCAAACAACGAAACGAAAGCGAAATACACGAAAAAGTCACACAAAAATCTCTCGGCTAAAATAACTGTTGACAGGCGAATGGAATGGAGGGAGCGAAAGAGAGGGCTGCACGAGGTGTTGTTGCTGCCTTCCTGATATTATTTCCATACAATATTATCGCACGCTGGGATCCGTTGGAACGTTGTTAACGCTTTCGCGGGTAAATCGTAACTGATTTCGGGCGCTGAAGCGTCCACAGGTAAAGCCGACAGGTAAGCCCGATCGTTGTCTATTCAGTTCTATTGCGTACTTTTGGGCTGGCGTGGGGAATAAGAATCCGAAAGTGGTGCGATCACTGTGGTGAGTTTCTTCCACAGGAAAGGAGTTCGCGGGCGACACTTTTGTCGGCTGCACAATCTAAAATTTACATAGTGTCAGCTACTTTCCAAAGTAGTTCAAATCAAAATTGCATTAGAAAAGTAATATCGAAAATACTAGGGTTCATTAATTATACACAAATATTTACAAGTTCTTTTTAAAATATAAATATAAACAATTCTTTCCTTCCCAAATTAAACTATTTATTGCACTCTTATAATGGTGTCAACAAATTATTAACAATATTTTGAAAGGTCTTAATAATTTATATAGGTGTCAAATAAAAGTTAATAAATCAATTAGAGGTAGTTTTTTGGTAAAACCTTTTAAAAGTAGCAAACGGCTCTATGTATTGACTTTAATTAGTAACGATTTCCCAAATTAAGGTAATTTTGCATTTTGCATTTGTTTTTGATCTACCCCTCGAACATTTGTTTTAGCCTGTCTTATACTGGATTCGCTCTTAAGCACTGTATTTCCGTGCAACCCTTTATTCCATTGTCTCCACTTTCGTGCCGCTTTAATACCCATTGTCCGTCCCCTTATCAGCAGTGTCCAACGATGTTTCCAAGCCAGTGCCTTACCTGTATGGAAATCAATCACGAACATGAATCCCATCTGGGATTCTTGGGCACTGCATTCCCTTCTTTTTTTGCCCCCAGTGCAAGTGAAACCCGCTGTCAGTTCTTAACGAACTCCCTGACACCGTAATGAAACCCTGCTAAATACCAAGCAAGGCGAGTCTCAGCTATTGATCTAATAATCGGAATGTGTGGGTGGCGGTGGGTGACAGTACTCCAACAGCTGTGGCTTATGGACATGTGGTCAACTGTACTTTTGTCCCTGATTTGACAGCTGACAACTGTCATTTTCGGCCTGGCTCACCTGACGTGTGCTCATGGAATTTATTTAATTTCCGCCTGGCCATTCAAGTAAATTGACTTTCGCCGCCCCTCGGCCCTCTCTTTCGCTCCATGTGTGGGAGACAAACAAAAGCCGTGTGCTAATGCAAATTTGGCCCGATCTTTAGATAAACATCGCCATGGAATAGTCAAAGTTGCAGTGGTAAATTCTACAGGTGAAAAAATGGTGTCGAAAATCAATGTTCCATAAACTGAGTTTTTAGTTCGGATGTGTGTTACTATTTTAAAGAATAAGCTCTATTCTAAATATATCCAGAAACTGTTAAGGTACTTTATTCTATACATCTTCTTTTATACAATTATTATAAGTTAGAAAGGAGTTATTGACTTCAAATAAATAGTCTGAAATTATATAACAAAAAACCAGATAAAATTATTTTTCATAGGTAGCGGCTAAACTTTAGTTGGCATGATTTCCCCCAGTGTTACGTTCCGTTTTTGGGGACTCCGTGGCGACATTTCGCTGCGCTACTCGGTCGCCCTTATCGTTTTAATTAGTTTTTGAAAAAGTTGGACCAACAAACCTTGGGAATGGTAGGGGGACGGCAGACAGAACTACGAGTAGTACTGGCAATTATGAAATTGCTAATAAGTTCGCATTCAGAGCAGGGCAATTGCACTTAAAGCGCAACTCCTTTACATTTAATTAAGGCCGAGCGAAGGGCGCCACCTGCTAGTTTTTCGATTTCCCTGTTTATCTCCAGGAGGCGGTGGCGCCTCCTTCGCCTCCCCGTCGATTTGCATGAATATTTATAGCAAATGGTGCGGCATTAAATGCAACTCCCGAGAAAACGTCGTCGGATTAGGCAACAAATTTATATGCACGAAAAGCGAAATCAACAAAAACAAGGAAAGAAGGTGCAAATGCAGGCTTCCAAGCCAAAAGGCTGGGCCGCCGTGAGATTTTGCCAAAAGTTTTCGGGCACCTGCAATAAAAAAGTTTTCTTTAATCCTACAGGGGGTTTTCGTAATAAATGATTTAAATTGCATTCGCAATGAGGGTAAACTAGTGAAGAGAGCTGCTCAGATATGTAAGAGAAAATCTATTGAAACCCCCGAGATATCCAAGGGTTTTTAGAACCCTTCTGGTAATCCAGTGAAGAATTCCCCGCTTATCTTTCGTTGAAATCAACCGAACAGAAAACTCGAATGAACTTTTGAAAACCCCAAACCGTGCAAAAATCGTTCAATCTTCTTAAGCAACCGACCAGGCGCCAAGAAAAACTCAGGAGGCCAACGGAACCGATTCAATTCAACTCTCTCGAACGAAACACGCATGGCGATATACAAATATATGTACAGTGCACAATATACACATGCGGGCTCTCTCAGCAATCGTAATATACATATGTACGTATGTACTCACCCCACTGTGCCGTGATCATGCGGGCGTGTAGAAAACGAGCAAGCGGTACGCCGCTTTCTGCCCACTTCTGGTCGCCTGGTAGACACATGGATCACTTTATCGATTTTACGAAGAAGCGAATCGATTTTTTTTTTGGTTTTCTGATCTCAGAATCGGAATCATTCCGCCAGATGATCGTGTGTGATCGCGTCGCGTATTGCGTTTTTCAGAGCGACGCGAAAAAAACGGGCGAGACTATGGAGGCAAAGTACCGCAAAAGAGCGCGATCGCTATATAGTGGTGGTTGAATAATGTCAGGTGAGTACTCTCAACTGATCGCTCAGAAAAAAAAAGAAAAAAAAATGTACTTGGAGATGCCGGGGATTGAACCCGGGGCCTCTCACATGCAAAGCGAGCGCTCTACCACTGAGCTACATCCCCCATGTTCAACGGGCGGGCCAAATGCCTATTCGAAACAAGCGGCTGGTGGATGAAATGGCGACTCAGCGTTAGTAAAATGTATGTTTGTTTTTGTAAAATACGAAAAGGTTAAAAAGTAGCTGAAGTTGTTTTTGCCTTACAAATAAACAAAATATAAATATACATAGATATATATATGTAAGTAAATGCGGTAATAAAATAAAGCAAGGCTTGTAAGCAGACCTTCCGCTAATGGAGGAATTAAAAACATTGACATACATTTAATAGTTTGCTTAAGGTCTTAGTAAAGTACAATTAAAAATTTAAATTAAACTCTTAAAAATATTTATTAGTCTGCTAAATAACATAAAATATGTGCCAAGAGATTTTAATAACTAATCTTACACAGAAAACGTGTTTATATTCTTTTGCTAGGCCTCAAACATTTCTTAATTCCACCTGGTTTACAATTTCTAAGGATTGAAACCACCCCTATTATCCTTTTCTTCCTGTTACCTGGTCCATTAATCCTTCTCCATTGTTGCCAGTGCAAAATGCATTTTGGTCAGGCAGTTTCACATCGGGGATGTAGCTCAGTGGTAGAGCGCTCGCTTTGCATGTGAGAGGCCCCGGGTTCAATCCCCGGCATCTCCAAGTACATTTTTTTTTCTTTTTTATTCCATGTGTTTTATATTTTTCGGCTCTCCAAATGCGTTTAGAGTTGGTATTGCAAAGCTGATGCCTTCTTGTGTGTGGGCCTTGGCCAGAGACTTGATTTATGCGCAACGAGGCGGCAATAATGAATTATTTATGCCGATTTACGGCTGCCAGGCAGGTCTGCATGTCAATTGGCAGAAACTCACTACATGGTAGTGCGATATTTCGGAAGACTAGTGGAAGAAAACCGAGGAGGAGGCCCAAAACTTGGCCAGTGTTTGACTTTTGGCAGCATTTAAGCCCAATTCGTAGCCGCAGTGCAGCCAAGTGGTTAAAATGTGTATACCCAGAATGCTGTGAAAGGAAATTGGCTTGTTCTCACTTTTGCAACATTTGCTCACTGGAAATTAAAATTAAATTTTGCATGAGCCCGAACGCAGCAGCTCAAATATTGGCCAGGCCCCCGGACAGGCAATTGATTTTGTTGCGGTCGAGTAAGGGAAAAGATTCTCAAGATTTGGACAGGTTCCTTGGACGCACACATCCATCCTGGCCCATCAATTAGCAAGAAGCGTAGGGGAAAAATTAAAAGTATTGAATCCGAAGTGGCAAATGCTAAATGCTAAATCAGAAATGCCAAGTCCCAATGCCCAGGCACAAGTCGCATAAATAAGATTATGCCAGGTCTCGTGTTGGATTGAAATTAATTACCATAACGACGTCTGCTCGTGTCAGTGTGTGGGATTTATTTGCCGGCAATAAATATTTTATAACCGAGCTCAAGTGTGTTGGGCCCTGATGGACTTGAAGGCATAATTTGAATTTGAATAAAAGAAAATCCAAATCGAAATTGTCACACAGAATTTATGTAATTGCATAAACACCGCAAGGACACTCGCACACACGTGTTTTCCTATGGAGTGTCCTGTCTCGAAGGCCTCGATTCGGTTGCTTTCGGTCCTGCCTTCCTGCTAAATAATTGAGGCAACAAACTAAACAAATGACATAGCCTCAATTTCGTGACGGGCTCGAAGGGCAGGGAAGGGGGTGTGGTGTGCAATCTATTTAGGTTTTCCTCCGGAAAAGCAGTGTCTGGTTGTACTTGTGCGGTGTATTCAACTTATCGATTTCAAGGATTTCGAATACGGATGTCTCACCCTTAGTATGGGTGAATTTTAAAGAATTGAATGGTCTAACTATTTAAAGGGCGGTTTTCCCGTCCGCATGTTGAACTAAAAGTAAGGCCCAAACTCCAAATCAACTTTTAGTTCAACATGCGGATGCGAAAGGCCCTTAATCTTGAAACAAATCTTTTATTTTGATAACTATTTTATTTAATCTAAATCATACCCTTAGTGCGGGTGATTTTCAAAGAATCGAATGGTCTAACTATTTAAAGGGCGGTTTTCCCGTCCGCATGTTAAACTAAAAGTGAGGCCTAAACTCCAAATCAACTTTTAGTTTAACATGCGGATGAGAAAGGTATTTAACCTTTAAACAAATCTTTTATTTTGAAAA